GATGGGATTAGGGGCCTGTACCAAGGCTTTAATGTGTCTGTACAGGGCATTATCATCTACCGGGCTGCCTACTTCGGTATCTATGACACCGCAAAAGGAATGCTTCCAGATCCCAAGAACACGCACATCTTCATCAGCTGGATGATCGCGCAGTCTGTCACTGCTGTTGCTGGGTTGACTTCCTATCCATTTGACACTGTTCGTCGGCGCATGATGATGCAGTCGGGGCGTAAAGGAACTGATATCATGTACACAGGCACACTTGACTGCTGGAGGAAGATTGCTCGTGATGAAGGAGGCAAAGCGTTTTTCAAGGGTGCATGGTCCAACGTCCTCAGAGGCATGGGTGGTGCTTTTGTGCTTGTCTTGTATGATGAAATCAAGAAGTTCACATAAGTTATTCCCTAGGTTTGTTCCCCTGTAAACAGGCATGTTGTATTATAATCTTGAGCATTCTCGACAGGCTCTTGTCTGTCTTATCAAAAGCAACTATGTGCTGGTTGAAAATGGGAAGCAATAATATTCTTCTGACCAGTTTTCTCTTAAAGCCATTTCCATGATGATGATGATGATGGGACTCAATTACATTTTTTTATTTCAGTCACTCCTGATAAATAATTTGAAGAAATAAAAATATACACAATAAAAAAAAAGAAATGAGTAGCTACTAGCTCCCTTTCCTCTTGGTTCTTCCTTCTTCAAATGCTCTCCCCTCTCCCTCCCCCATCACACTCATCTGTATCTTTTTGTCTAATGGTTCCTTCCCCTGCAAAGCGGTCAGAGTTGTGACACAGTGAGTTAAGCCATTTCTTAGGACACCAACATCCTATTTCAAAGGTCCAGTTGAAGTGCCAATTGCTCTGCTTCCAATACAGCTCCCTTCTACTGCATCTGGAAAGTAGCAGATGATGGCTCAATACCTGAGTTCCTGCCATCCACATAGGAGACCCAGACGGAGTTTCTGGCTCCTGGTTATGGCCTGGCCCCGTCACTGCTGTTATAGGCATTTGAGGAGTACACCGTGGATGAAAGATATCTCTCTCTCTCCTTAGGTCTTTCCCTCTCTTTGTCACTCTGCCTTTCAAATAAATAAATATTTTTAAAATCCTATAAACATGTGCAAGCCTTCTTCATTAAAAAAAAAGAAGTGGTTGTTTAGCCTAATGGTGATACGCCAATTAAGATGCCTACATGTCACACTGGAGCATCTGAACTCTAACTCATGACTCCAGCTTCCTGCTAACGCACATCCTGGGAGGCAGCAGTGCTGGCTCAGGTAATCGTGCTCCTGCGATCCCTGTGGGAGACCTGGATGGAGTTCCCAGCTCTCACTTTTGACCTGGCCTATTACTGGCTGTTGTGGGCATTTGGGGAATGAATCATGAATCAGGGGATGAGGCGCACTCCCTCTCTTTGCCCTCCTCCGGAACAAATAGTAGGCAAATAACATTTTTAAAAAATAAAAACAGGGGGCTGGTATTGTAGTGTAACAGGCCACTACCTGCAATGGTGGCATCCCATATCCAGGTCCTGCTAATGTGCTTGGGAAAGCAGCAGAAGATGGCCCCAGTGCTTGGGCCCCTGCACCCAAGTGGGAGACCTGGAAGAAGCTCCTGGCTCCTGGCTTCAGCCTTGCCCAGCCCCAGCATTGCAGCCATTTGTGGAGTGAACCAGCAGATGAGGACCTCTCTCTAACTCTGACTTTCAAATAAATTTTAAAAATCTTGAAAAATTAAATTCATGGGGCCGGCACTGTGGCATAGTGGGTAAAGCCAGCACCTGCAGCGCCAGCATCCCATGTTGGACACTGGTTTGAGTCCTGATTCCACTTCTGATCTAGCCCTCTGCTATGGCCTGGGAAAGCAGTGGAAGATGGCCAAAGTCCAGTGGATGTAAGATCTCTCTCTCTCTCTCTCTCTCTCTGTGTGTGTGTGTGTGCCTCTCTGTAACTCTGCCTTTCAAACAAATAAATCTTTAAAAGAAGAAGAGGAGGAGGAGGAAGAAGAAGAAGAGGAGGAGGAGGAAGAAGAAGAGGAGGAGGAGGAGGAGGAGGAAGAAGAAGAAAAAGAAGGAGGAGGAGGAGGCGGCGACAGCGGCTTAGGTCCTTGGGGCTTTGCACCTGCATGGAAGACCCAGAAGAAGCTCCTGACTCCCGGGTTCAGTCAGCCCAATTCCAGCTGTTCCGACCTCTTGTGGAGTGAACCAGGAGATGGAAGACCTCTCTCTCTCTCTCTCTCTCTCTCTCTCTCTCTCCCCCTCTCCCTCTGCCTCTCAGTAACTCTGCCTTTCAAATAAATAAATAAATCTTTAAAAATTTTAAATTAAAAAGTAAAAACAAAACTGTTCAAATGACAAATATTCTTTCTTTTTAGGAAGATTTTCTTGATGCTTCCTCTTTTCATGCATACCAAATATGTCATCATCAAAACCTGATTTACTGCTTTTATATTGTATCTACAATGACTTGTAATTTATTAGAAAATCATTACCATTCTGTATTGGGGTCCTTGGTTGAAGCTGATATAAATAATCATTTAAGGGGCTGGTGCTGTGGCGTAGCGGGTTAAGTGACGCCTGCAGTGCCAGCATCCCATATGGGCGCTGGTTCAAATCCCAGCTGCTCCTCTTCCAATCCAGCTCTCTTCTATGGCCTGGGAGAACAGTAGAAAATGGCCTGAGTCCTTGGGCCCCTGAACTCACATGGGAGACCTGGAAGACGCTCCTGGCTTCAAATTGGCACAGCTCTGCCCATTGCAGCCAATTGCGGAGTGAACAAGCGGATGGCAGACCTCTCTCTCTTTCTCTCTCTGCTTCTCCTTCTCTCTCTGTGTAACTCTGACTTTCAAATAAATAAATAAATATTTTAAAAAGTAATCATTTAAATAAAGATACCTGGTAACAAAAAGAAAAGCAAAAACAAATACCCTTTTTTGTTTCTATATCACCTTTCATCCACTACTAGAATCATGATTGAACAAGTGTTGACTGCATTTGGCCAAAAAAAAAAAAACACACACACACAACAACAACAACAACAAAAAAAAACACCACACACACACACACAAAAAAAAGTATAAAGGATTTAGGGGTGCTAGAGAGACAATGGTTCAGGGTGCCAATCATGAGAATCCAGCCTGATAAGTAAAGAAAGAACACAAGAAAAGAGTTTGATAAACAGGGATAATAAAAATGTATTCAGAAATTAAAGACCTAGAGGAGGTTAAAGAGGTAGTAGTGGGAGAAGGGGTTATAGGAACAAGACCAATTGAAACAAAGACTGGTATCAAAAGGTTAAAAAGTCATGTTTAAAATTTCTGAAGAGGGGGCCAGCGCCATGGCTCACTAGGCTAATCCTCCGCCTGCGGCGCCAGCACACCGGGTTCTAGTCCCGGTTGGGGCACCGGATTCTGTCCCGGTTGCCCTCTTCCAGGCCAGCTCTCTGCTGTGGCCTGGGAGTACAGTGGAGGATGGCCCAAGTGCTTGGGCCCTGCACCCCATGGGAGACCAGGAGAAGCACCTGGCTCCTGCCATCAGATCGGCGGCCATTGGAGGGTGAACCAATGGCAAAGGAAGACCTTTCTCTCTGTCTCTCTCTCTTACTGTCCACTCTGCCTGTCAAAAAAAAAAAAAAAGATGTAAAATTTCTGAAGAGGAACAACTATTGGAACACTTACAAATCAATATAACAACACATGAGTCATTGCTATTCTGGTTAGTTTATTTCCAATTTTCTAACTGAATTAACAGCCACAACAAATTGACGGGACAAGCAGAAAATAATGATGACTCCACCTTACACCGCTTAGGGTGACTATTTCCAACAATAATGCTAATAATTAGCGTCAACAAGGAAGTGGAGAAATCGGAACCCTTGTACACTGTGGAAGTGTAATGTGGTGCAACCTCTGTGAAGAACAATACAATGATTTCTCAAAGAATTCTAAGTTGGATTAACAGATGAGTCAGCAATTCCAAACATATAGATCCACAGATGTAAATAAATCCATGTCTCCAAAAGAGCTTTAAGAAGGACCTCAGCGAGATACTTGCAACAGAATCATTCACAACAGTCAAAAGGTAGAAGCAACCTAGGTGTTTATTGTCAGATGAATGGATAACAAAATGTGGTATATACACACTTGCATAGAGGAGCATCATTCAGCCTTTAAAAAGAAGGAAATGTAGACACATTACAATACTCACATGGATTAACCATATAGCACTGTGTTCTATGTGAAATAAGCAATCGCACACACACACAAAATGCCATATGAGTTCACTTATATGTGGTGCTTAGTCAAATTCATAGACAGAAAATAGAAAGGTGGTTTGCAGGGGCTGGGGGTGGGGAGAGGCCGGAAATGAACAGGGTACACCCTAAATCCTTTATACCTCTTTTTTTTTTAAGGCCAAATGCAGCCAACTCTTACCCAATCCTATGATTCTAATAGTGGGTGAAAGGTGATAACAGAAACAAGAAAAGGCATTTGTTTTTGCTTTTTTTTTTTTTCTGCTACCAGATATCTTTATTTAAGTGATTGTTTATTTAATTTCAACCAAGGACCCTAATACTGAATGGTAATAATTTTCCTTAAAGGGTACAGCGTTTCAGTCTCACAAAATGAAGAGTTCCAGAGATGGATGCTGGGATGCTTGAACACTGGAAATGTACTTAATACTACTGAACTGTACACGAAAAACGATCCCGATGGCACATCGTATGTGTGTTTTACTACAGTTTTGTTAACAGTTACATGGAAAAAGAAAAAGCCAGGCACGACAGAAAAACAGTCGACATCAATCAAAACCAACAGGGAGAGGAGTTCAGGCTCATCCCGCTACTGCTGAGCTTGACCACCCGGCTGTGGGAACGGGAAAGCAAGGGCGTGGCAAGGGCGTGGCAAGGGCACGCCTCGGGCTCCGCGCCGGGCGGGGCTGCAGGGAAGCCGCAGGTTACCGCAGGTCACCCGGCGGACCGGGCGGCCACTGCGCAGGCGCTTCTCGACGTACCGGAAGTGACGCTTGTGTCGCGGAGACAGGTTCAAGGGAGAGCTGAGCAAATAGCGTAGGTGAACGGGCCGGGATTTGGGTCCGGCAGCCGCTATGAGCTGCACCATCGAGAAGATTCTGACGGACGCCAAGACGCTGCTAGAGAGGCTGCGGGAGCACGATGCGGCCGCCGAGTCGCTGGTGGATCAGTCGGCGGCGCTGCACCGGCGAGTGGCTGCTATGCGGGAGGCGGGGACAGCGCTTCCGGACCAGGTCAGGCGGAGGGTAGCGGACCAGGGCCCTGGGGTTCTGGGCGCTTGAGGGGTGGAGAGCGAGGTGACGGGGGACCTCGGCCCGCAGTTTATCCCTGGTCTCAGGGCGGCAGGAAGACCTTTCTGCAGGGTAGGGGCTGGTGATCCTGCCCTGGCGCTCTGACTCCTGCCTCTTCAGCTGCGTCTGCCCCAGTTCTGTTTACAGTGCGCTTAGGCTGTCTCTGTTTGTGCAGTATCAAGAGGATGCATCCGATGTGAAGGATATGTCCAAATACAAACCCCACATTCTGCTGTCCCAAGAAAACACACAGATTAGAGACTTACAGCAGGAAAACAGAGGTGAGTCAGGCCTTTGTGTGGTTAGGATTGTTTCACGTCTGGGAGTGGCGAAACTACCCTAAATGTATTTTCAGGTCAGTACTTTTACTAGGAAAGTTACCGTGTGCTGGCCCAGTAAGAAGCTTGTTAGATTACCCGTTCCAAGGTTTGTTTTTATAAGCAGCTTATCAAAGAGACGCTTGCTTGAATTGAATTATTGCATGGCTTTTTTAGGTACCCCCAGATGGAGGCTTGCATGACGACACTGTATATCCTTAAGGGCTTAAAGTTGAATGTTTAGATATTAACGTAATGAACCCTGATGTTAAGTTCGAAGGTTTTGTATATGTTCTTACACAAGATGGAAGAGTGGAATTCTATCCTCAGAATATATATTTGCATTCTTAGGCTTGATGAGTGCATTATTAACGACGTTAATAGTACTAGTTGTACAGCGCTTTACAGGGGGCTTTCGTATATGTTATTACCCTGTAGTCTCCTGTCTTCATTTTGAGGTAGGCAAGCCAGGTATTTATACAGTGCCTTTAAGAAACAGGCTCAGAGAAGTTAAATGAGTTACTTATGAGTGGTAAGCAAGTAAGGCACAGAACTGAACTCAAGCCGGTGTTTTTCTGATTACACACCCCCATGTTGTTTCTGCCAAACTGCTGCCTCTACCTAGAAAGTTATTTTTCATGTAGACTTTAGCTGTTCAGTTTGCTACAACTTTGGGTTCACAGTATCATGGAGTGTCATCGAATTCCACCTATCAATAGTTAGCCTTTGGGATCTGTCTCACAGCCTTCACTGTTCAGTTATTTTGTTTTGTATCTGTTTGGTAGAGCTCTGGGTTTCCCTGGAAGAACACCAGGATGCTTTGGAACTCATCATGAGCAAGTACCGGAAACAGATGCTACAGTTAATGGTCGCTAAAAAGGCAGTGGATGCTGAACCGGTCCTGAAAGCTCACCAGTCTCACTCTGCAGTAAGAAACTTGGATGCTAAATTCTAAATGAACTGAATGAAAATCTTGAGATTGTTTTAGATCATGTCCATTTTTTAAAAAAATAAAAGGCAGGTTTATTACATTCAGTGTTTATTTGCTGTGGCTTTGTAAAGCTATGAATAGAAGGGCATGAGTGGCTCCTGAGATCCTTTAATTTGAGTGGGGCTAACGTCCCTCCATCCTTCGCTAAGATCTCTTTTTAAGATGTTAATGAATGCTTAGCTTTTCCAGCAATTTCAGGTAGTGCTGAAGGTGGTGCCCACAGTGGCAGAGCGGGTAAAGCGGCCGCCTGCAGTGCAGCATCCCATGTGGGTACTGGTTTGGGTGCCGGCTACTCCACTTCCAATCCAGCTCCCTGAGCAGTAGAGGATGGCCCAAGTGCTTGAGCCCCTGCACCCACATGGGAGACCCAGAAGAATTTCCTGGCTTCTGGCTTTGGATCAGTGCAGCTCTGATCATTGAAGTTCATGGAGAGTACATATTATTTAAAAAACTGAATGAATTTCAAAACTGCACCAAAAGAAACTAACTGCTTAATTCTAGTTTACATGAACTTTTTGAGGTATCTTCATGGTTGGTTGAGTATTACTTGCACATACCAAACTATAAATTCCCTAATTGTAAGGAATATGAATTCATTTAATTCCTAACGTAGTACCTGGCACATAACAAACAGTCAGTAAATCTTTATCAAAATGAACAAAGTAGCATTATATTGTGTTACTAGACAAGACAAGTATGGTTTAAAAAACAAAAACCTGGCCCAGTTCTACACTTGGCTGGGAATGATGTAAGTTGAGAGGCCAGTAATTGGTGTTGTGTTCATTGAGTGCTTCATAGTTGTCATTATACAATCACATGTACTATTACTGAATCCTGGACAATAGATTGGAGCCTCACTAATTGCTGCAGTGGAAGATACAGTTCATCTCAGATCCTTTTGGATGCATTTTATTGATTTATTTTCATTTTATTTGAAAGGCAGAGACAGAAGGTCTCACATCCACTAATTTAATGCCCACAATAGCAGACCTGGGCCAAGCTGAAGCCAGAAACCTGGAACTCAGTCTGGATCTCCCATGTGCATGTGGGTGAAAGAGACCCAACTACTTGAGCTGTTCCTCTGCTGCCCCCAGGATGCACATTAGCAGGAAGCTGGACCAGAGGCCGAAGAGCTAGGACTTGAAACCAGGCACTCCGAAATGGGATGCAGGCATCCCATACAGCATCTTAACTGCTGTACTTGGATTCCCACCAAAGGGATATTTTAAATACTCGATTCCTTTCATATGAAAAATAAAAATAAATGTTATTTACTGTTGTTCAGAAGGAAAAATATGAACCTTCAGGGAGACAAAGTTTAGCTCATTCAGAAATACTTTCTAAGCAATATGACCGGATAAAGACACCTTGGTCTGTGGTAAGCTTCTTGCCAGTAAAAGTCTTCAAATTTAATTGAAAAATGGCCACCTGATGATATCGTCCAACATTTAGTTGTTCTTAGACTTTTGGATTCATGGGGCAGGCGTTTAGCCTGGCAGTTAAGATATCCTTGTCCCATGGAGTATTTGGGGTCTGTGTGCCTGCCTCCAGCTCCTGATTCCAGCTTCCTGCTAATGCAGACCGGGGGAGGCAGTGGTGATGGCTCAAGTAATTGGGATTTTGCCACCCACTTTGTATACCTGGATGGCATTCCTAGCTCCCAGCTTCAACCCAATCCAGTCCAAGCTGTTGCAGATACTGGGGAATGAACCAGCAAATCAGCGAGAAGTGGAGAAGTGTACTCCCTCTCTCTCTCTACCTCTAAAGTAAACAAATTTCCTTTTAAAAATTCTTTAAAATAAAAAAATTTTTTGTGAATGCCATAAGCTCACTCTATTACGACTTTACTTTCCATGACTCAGATTATAGTGTAACTACATTGTAACTTGTATAATATAGAAAAAATGAACTTTTAAAAATCATAATAATGTGTTCTCATGCACTTCATATCTGTAGAATGACTTTTTTCCCCCCTCTTAATTTCTCTACAGGAAATTGAGAGTCAGATTGACAGAATCTGTGAAATGGGAGAAGTGATGAGGAAAGCAGTTCAGGTAGATGATGACCAGTTCTGTAAGATTCAGGAAAAGCTAGCCCAATTAGAGGTAAGATTGCTGCCATTTTTAGTTCATGATATTTCACAGTTTTCATAGTCTGGAATATATGCCATCACTACCTTATCACTGTAATATATTGATATTTTCTGTTTTCTTACGACTTAAAACTCTTCATATCGTTTTAAGAAAGACAGTGTTGGCTGGCGCTATGGCTCAATAGGCTAATCCTCTGCCTGCGGCGCCGGCACACCGGGTTCTAGTCCCGGTCGGGGCACCGGATTCTGTCCCGGTTGTCCCTCTTCCAGGCCAGCTCTCTGCTGTGGCCTGGGAGTGTAGTGGAGGATGGCCCAACTTCTTGGGCCCTGCACCTGCATGGAGACCAGGAGAAGCACCTGGCTCCTGGCTTCGGATCAGCACCGTGTGCTGGCCGCAGCGGCCATTGGAGGGTGAACCAACGGCAAAGGAAGACCTTTCTCTCTCTCTCTCTCACTGTCCACTCTGCCTGTCCAAAAAAAAAAAAAGGCAGTGTTGTAATAAACAGCATTCTGTGAAACTACCAACCAAGAATTGCCTAGAGGTTGAGATACTATGAGAGTAGAGAAAGTGAAAGGAATAGGTTATATGAGCCAGTATTCCCCATCTTCCACAGGAGGAAGTCATATGAGTAATACCTAAAGTTGATGACTAGGAAATACAAGTGTAGGCAGATTATTTAGAATTAAGGAAGAAAAGACATAAAGTGGTACTGCTTTTAAGGAACAAAGCCAAGGAACTGCTATTTATTTTATCAGCCTCACATTCTTGATTTACAAAAAAGGGGGCAGAGTTAGAGAGGGGGAGAGAGAGAGAGAGAAGTCTCCCATCTGCTGGTTCACTCCCCAAATGGCCACAGTGGCTGGGGCTGGGCCAAGCCAAAGTCAAGAGCTTCTTTTGGGTCTCCAAGGACTTGGGCCATGTTCCACTTGTTTTCCCAGGTCATTAGCAAGGAACTGGATTGGAAGTGGAACAGCCAGAACTTAAACCAGCACCTATATGAGATGCCAGCACTGCAGGCGGAGGCTTAACCCGCTGCAACACCATGCCGGCCCCAAAGTCTTGATTTTTTAAAAGCTATTTTTGTGTAATATTTTTATTAAAATAGAAATATACAAAAAAGGCCTGGATTATTAGTGTACCCCATAAAAAAAATTGTTTTTTTGACAGGCAGAGTGGACAGTGAGAGAGAGAGACAGAGAGAAAGGTCTTGCTTTGCCATTGGTTCACCCTCCAATGGCCGCCGCAGCAGGCGCACCACACTGATCCAATGGCAGCAGCCAGGCGCTTCTCCTGGTCTCCCATGGGGTGCAGGGCCCAAGGACTTGGGCCATCCTCCACTGCACTCCCTGGCCACGGCAGAGAGCTGGCCTGGAAGAGGGGCAACCGGGACAGAATCCGGCGCCTCGACCGGGACTAGAACCTGGTGTGCCGTCGCCGCAAGGTGGAGGATTAGCCTAGTGAGCCGCGGCGCCGGCCTCCCATAAAAATATTAAGGAAAAACATTTTGGTAGGTGGTTTGTGTCCTACTTATTATAAGTTGTTATAATGGGCTTTTGAGAAAAACCAGAGAGCTGGACTGGCACAGTGGTGCAGTGGGTTAAGTCACTGCCTATGACACTGGCTATCTCTTTTGGGTACTGGTTCAAGTCTCGGCTGCTCCACTTCTCCTGCAGCTCCCTTCTAATGCACCTGATAAAGCTGCGAAAGGTGGCCCACGTACTTGTGCACCTGCTCCCATGAGGGAGACCTGGAAAAGGCTCCTGGCTTCAGCCCAACCCAGTTCTGGCTGCTGTGGCCATTTGGGGAATGAACCAAATGATTGATAAATAAATAAATATTTAAATTAAAAAAGAAAAACAGAAGGAAGGAAAAGAAAAAGAACTGCCAGAGAGAAAAAGAGTTCTCTGCCCAGCACCCAGCAGGAAGAATAAGACTAGAAGTGAAGTGATATGAAATGAGAGCAAGTGCTGGGAGAGGGATGGAAGTCCCGGGGAAGCACTTGGCATGGTGGAAGGTGTGTTGCCCGTGGGCTCTGACCCCTTGGCGAGGCTGAAGAAGTGCGGTGTCTCAGTGTCCTGTAGAGAGAGTGAAGATGAAGAGTGTAAGCTCTGTTTGGGAATCAAAGGGAGTGGCAAGTCCTAAGAAGGACTTCGTGGCTAGCTAAATGACAAATCACCCTTGTCTGCACTATTCCTGGTTTACCTCAGTTATGGATACAGTCCTAAGGAAATGTGGGACCAGTTTTACTTACTATTTTAAGAAAGAAAAAAAAAATGGTCATTGGACACAGATGTCAGCAATACCACATCCAGGTGACCTGGATTTGGACAAGTTTTTGGAGTTTTACGAACTACAGCATCTTTATCTTGAGTAGAATACGGATGTCAGCAAAGAGACCTCCCTTACAGAGTGCTGTAAGATGGCATACATAATGAACCTGGCAGGTACCTCCCTGCATGCTCAAGCACTAGTTCCCTGCCACCTTTCTCCTCTCATTTTCTAAAACTGTGGGAGAGCTGGAAGGAGAGAGTGAAAAGATTATTAGAAATTGAAAATTGAAGAAACAGTAGTTAAAACGCGTGGGAACCATGAAGGGTATGGCAAATGGTAAATTCCTCAAGGGACTTTGTGTTTTTTCTTCTTTGCAGTTTTAGTACTCAGTAAATGTTAAATTAATAAGTAGTCTTTTAGGAAAGTCTCAGCGTGTGTGTGTGTGTGTGTGTGTGTGTTTTGAATTTCCTTATAACCTTAAAATGAAAATAAGTTTTCTTTTCCTGGCCCAAACCAATCTGTCCTGATGCAATTTGGCAGTACAAATCCTGGAAATAAACATGTATCTGTTCTCTTTTTTTTTTTCAGCTTGAAAACAAGGAACTACGAGAATTATTGTCTATCAGCAGCGAGTCACTTCAGGTCAGAAAGGAGAATTCAGTGGACACTGCTTCCCAAGCCATCAAATAACTGAACTTCTGAATGATGGCTGGAAATTGTCTTATCAAGGAAGGAAGTTGCTGTCTTTCCATTGGAGTATTGTCCATTCAGTATCTTGCCTCAGACTTGATTTAAACTTCCCACGTGACAGTTTAGAGTACCAGTTAATATTGGCTGTCCACAAAACAGTTTTAGGTGTATTGGTGAGAATACACAGTGAATTTCACCATTCCTTTCTGCAGGAAACTACTTCTGATTTTCATCCTGGGACCTTCATTTTCTATAAGCTCTGTTTTCAGTTCATTTTTGTTTTCCACATCTCTAGAACTTCAAGCATTTTATTGTAAGACAGGAACTTTATTTTATATAGGATTGTGAAATACACTTATGAGGATTTTTAAAAGTATTTAACTTTTTAAATCTATTTGGCATAAACCTGGGTTTTTTTCCCACTTGACAGAAGGAATGCAACTGCTTAGAACTTAATGGGCAGATTCTCTTCTTTGTAACATCCTGTGAAGGTTTAAGTCTCTCTGGTGCTAAGAGTTGGCACTTTGTGCCTGGTGTCTTTACTCTTAATTTGAGAGAACCTATTGTTAGTCCCCAGGAAACATACTTGAAAAATCTAAGTCAGCTGTTCTCCCCCAGGGCAATGCAGTGGTCACATTGTTCAGAGAATGCTGAGGGGCTTGGGCTGTGTATGTGCACACTCACGTGTGCATGGTTAAATGCTTTAAAAAAATGTGGCTTTTCCTCTATTAAATATGAGTCAACATTTTTCAATTTTGTCCTAGTAGGAAATCCTCAATGCAGGCAGTTTACCCCGTGTGAAGAATATACCATAGAATTATTCACATCACAGTGCTTAGGTACTATATTTCTATTTATCTAACACTCCCATTTTATACTGAAGAACCACTATTTACTCGGGTGTCTTTCATTATTAGTACTAGTATTTGACTTTTGTTTTAGATGAGTTTTATTGTCTCCTGAGAATTATTACATTCATAATGCTGTGTAGACAACACGAAAGCAGCATTGAGATGGTGGACTAGGTTCACTCCTCAACTCATTCCCCTGTCTGTTTACTCACGTTTCAAATTTCTAAGTTACCTCATGTTATCTTATTATTTAGATTTATCAAAAAGTAGTTGGAATAATGAGTACTAAACTCATCAATGTTTTCCCATAACATTAAGCACCATGCTGCATGGGAATGACAGGATTAAAAAGAGGTTTTTGTTAGTTCTATGTGTGATGTAAAGTTTCTTTTGCACTGCTGTACAGAATTAATTCCAGTCTCTCCAATATGTCCTAAAAGCAACAAATCCCAGTAATACCAGTGGATTTTGCTCATCTACTATGCATTAATGGAGAGTTGTGTGTCACCTTAAAATTCATCAAATTTCTGTTTGATGTTCTGCAGAGAATTTGACTAAAAAGCAACTCAAATGCAAACATTTTTATCTCCATCCAAGACTATACTTTGAGTCCCGTGATTTGGCTTGATGTCCTAAGTGCCCTGAGTGTGTCCCACAAGTCCATTCAAGACACAGATTACCATAGGCCATATGCCAGCTGTCATGGTGAAATTTCATTGGAATGGTAAAGTGATCAAATGGCCCACTACACTGGGGGATAGTGAGAGAGATAGTGGGTTAATGCTATGAAGGTAATGGATAGTTAGAAAATTGAATGGGGGCCGGTGTTCTGGCACCACAGGTTAAGTCACCTGCAATGCTGACATCCATATGGTCATAGGTTCAAGTCCCAGCTACTATACTTCCAATTCAGCTCTCTGCTGATGTGCCTGAGAAAGCAGCAGAGGATGGTCCAAGTGCTTGGGCCCTGCACCCACACGAGAGACCTGGATGAAGCCCCTTGCTTCAGCCTGGCCCAGCCACAGCCATTGTATCCACTTCGGGAGTGGATCAGCAAATGAAAGATTAATCAATCTCTGTCTCTATGTTGCTTTTCTCTCTCTCTCTCTCACTCTCTTTCTGCCTTTCAGATAAATAGAATGAATCTTTAAAAAAAATTTAATGGAGGAAAAATATTCTTCATTTGAAAATTAAAGTTTTATTTATAGTGGGTAGCAGAACTTGACTGGTTTTTGTAGTACAAAATTATCTTCCCTAATAAAACTTCATTTTTAGAAGACTAGCTTATTTTCCTTAGTAATGAGTCTAATTATTAGGAAGTGCAGAGAGTTTTTCACATATTTAGCAACCTTGTGAAGTAGCCATAAGACTTTCATAAATAATTTTTTTAAAGATTTATTTATTTATTTGAAAGGAAGAGTTAAAGAAAGGGGCAGATAGAAGTCTTCCATCCGCTGGTTCACTCCCCAAATGGCTGCAATGGCTGGAGCTGTGCTGATCCAGAGCCAGGAGCCAGGAGCTTCCTCCAGGTCTCTCGCATGGGTACTGGGGCTCAGGCACTTGAGCCATCTTCTGCCTTCCCAGGTCACAGCAGGGAGCTGGATTGGAAGTGGAGCAGCCAGGTCTTAAACCAGCGCCCATAAGGGATGCTGACACTGCAGGCAGTGGCTTTACCTGCTATGCCACAGCACCAGCTCCTATAAATAATTAGTAATTAGCACATCGTACTGAGCATTGTAACTCTACCAGTAGTCTCATAATAAAAAGGTATGAATCACATCAATACCTTAGATAAAATTCTTAGATGAATTCCTTATACTTAATTTAATTCAAACATGGCTTATTTCATTGTTCCTCAGAGTGATTCAATGACCCATGAATAAAAATTTGAGGATGAGATCTAGGAATTTGTATTTTAGTAATAATTCCTGATAACTTTTTTTTTAAAGATTTATTTATTTGAAAGAGTTACACAGAGCAGGAGAGGCAGAGAGAGAGGGGGGTCTTCCATCCACTGATTCACCCCCAAATTGGCCACAATGGCTGGAGCTGCACCAGTCCAAAGCCAGGAGCCAGGAGCTTCCTTCAGGTCTCCCAGGCAGGTGCAGTGATCCAAGAACTTGAGCCATCCTCCACTGCTTTCCCAGGCCATATCAGAGAGCTGGATCGGAAGTGGAGCAGCCAGGACTCGAACTGGCACCCTTATGGGATGCCAGCACCACAGGCGGCACCAATCCCTGATAACTTCATTAAGAGTTACAGGGGAAGAAAAAAAGATGCTTTTCATAGAAAAGCCCAGCAGGGGAGACAAATATACATATAATTACAATGCAGTGTGACAAATCCAATGGAAGTGTGTATAGGACACAGAAAAGGGACTTAGTCAAACTTGAGAGTCTAGTGGAAACAAAAATGGGTAAGAGAAGAACTAGAAAACCTTAGCTCCACACAAAGTACAGATGGTACTGCCAATAATGACTGCCATTTATTGAGTGCCTTATTATGTGTCATGTACTATGTTAAACAATCTCCATTGCAACTGTACCTCATTTCACAGATACTCAGGCACAAAGAGGTTATTTGTCAAACTAGAACTAAGATTCTAGCCAAGGCAGTTTTTTTTTTTTTTTTTTTTTTTTTTTTTTTGAGATTTATTTGAGAGGCAGGCAGAGTTAGAGAGAGAGGAAAAGATAGAAAGAGAGAGAGAGGTCTTCCATCCACTGGTTCACTCTCCAAGTGGCCGCAGTGGCCAGAGCTGGATCAATCCAAAGCCAGGAGCCAGGAGTTTCTGGATCTCCCACATGGTTGCAGGGGCCCAAGCACTTGGGCCATCTTCTACTGCTTTCCCAGGCCATAGCAGAGAGCTGGATTGGAAGTGGAGCAGACAGGACTCAAACCAGCACCCATATGGGATGCACCACAGGCAGAGGCTTAACCATATGCTACAGTGCCAACCTCATATTATTATTATATATTTTTTTAAGATTTTTTTTATTTGAGAGGCAGAGTTACAGAGAAGGAGGGAATTACAGCAAGAAATATCTTCCATGCACTGGTTCATTCCCTATATGCTGTAAGGGTCTCGGCTGGGCCATGCCAAAGCCAAGAGCTGAGAACTCCATCTAGGTATCCCACATAGGTGGCAGAGGCCCAAGCACTTAGGGTATCTTTTGCTGCTTTCCCAGACAACATCAACAGGAAGCTGGATTGGAAGTGGAGTAACCGGAATTCAAACCAGTGCTCATATGGAATGCCAGCATCACTGGGCCGCAATGTCAGCTACTACCAAGGCAGATTCTTAATACACGTTCTTAACTGCTCAGTTAAAATGTCTAAATATCAAACACTGCTCAAGTGTTTCTTGATTAGCAAAATCTATTTTTTAATAATAGTGCAAGGGGCCAGCACTGTGGCACAGCAGGTTAAAGCCCTGGCTTGCAGCGCCGGCATCCTACATGGGTTCTGGTTTGAGTCCGGCTGCTCCACTTCCAATCCAGCTCTCTGCTATGGCCTGGGAAAGCAGTAGAAGATGGCCCAAGTTCTTGGGCCCCTGCACCCACATGGGAGACCTGAAAGAAGCTCCTGGCTCCTGGCTTTGGATTGCATGGCTCTGGCAATTGTGGGCAATTGGGGAGTGAACCAGCGCATGGAAGATCTCTCTGTCTTTCAAATAAATAAAATAAATATTTTTTAAAAAATAGTGCAAAAGAAACACCACAGCTCCTATGTGAGAAACTATCATGACCTCAATAGTTAAGTCTTAAATAATGAAATACAATAGTTAATTTTCTAGAGTGGTATATGAGAGTATATGTAACTGGAAGGAATAATAATCAGTGAACCATACTACAAACAGGAGCAGGTGCAGTTATGTCAAATCTGTCTCCTTACTGTGTTGACTTATCCTTCATGCAGAAGATGCAGATGTTCCCATATTGAAGACAGAAAAACAGAAGTGGCCTGTGCAGCTGTCTATATCCCCTAATGTCATCTAAAGGGTTTGTTACCCAAAGTTTTCCCAGACATTCCAACACATTTCTTGCCTTATTTGCCACCTCTAGCTGCAAAAGGGTACTAAGTACATAACTGCCCCCAAAATGCCAGTATTCTGTTAGCAAAGCGAAAAAATACTGAGAAAGTGACTAATGTCTCCATAAGCTGAAGGAGTCTGTTCATACTATATAGCCAAGAGAGTGGACTGGGACAGACAGCTCTCATTTATGTTTCAGCTACCCAATATGTTTGTATTTTGTTTGTTTTTAAGATTATTTATTTGAAAGGCACAGTTGAGAGAGACAGATAGATCATCCATCCACTGGTTCACTGTCTAAATGCCCGCAAAATGGAAGCCAGATGCCAGGAATTCCATCTGGATCTCCCATGTGGGTGGCTGGGACTCAGCTACTTGGGTCCTCATTCGCTGCAACCAAGGCCCATGAACAGAGAACTGGACCACAAGTGGAGGAGCTGGGACTCAAGCTGGCACTCCAGTACGGGATGTGGACATCCCAAGCAGCAGCTTAACCTGAAGTGCCACAATCCCTGCTGCCTCCCAACTCCTGTGTTTTAAAGAATCCTCACTAATGAGACATAACCTTCCCCCTCCAAAAGAATTTGAAAGTGCTACACTTCCCAGCCTCCTTTGCAGCTAGAGAAGATACAGATGTCTTCACTGTTGAAGTTAGTGTTACAAAAGAATGGAACCATGTAGGATCCTTTGAGGATGGTGACCACCAACACTGAGCACTACATTCGGCTCCACAGCGCAGCAGCAAAGGTGTTTTGCTGAGGTTATTTTTAGTGACAACCTTCAGTCTCCACTGTGATGTAAACTGAAGTGTCTACCCATCTGGAGACAGTGGGATCGTCACGAAAGCAAGTCTGTAGCATTATTACCGACTCAGTAGCCTCCAATTCTGGTTTCCTGGCTGTCCTAGAGAGCCTGAGAATTACTTATGATGAACTCATTTTTAAAATTAACCTGAATTGTGTGTAACAAAGAATCCTGAAAAGTATATTTCAGAAACTGACATATATCTATAAACTTGGGACTACTTTATGATTTTGCATTTATATTTCCATGTAATATTTAACATCTACAAAAGAATAAATGTGGCATGTCAATAAATGATCAGACAGTGGCTCATCACCCAACTTAAGAAGTAGTAGGGCCAGAGCTGTGGCACAGCAGGTTAAACCATGTCCTGCAGCTCCAGCATCCCATATGCGTGCCAGTTTCAGTCCTGGCTGCTCCACTCCTGATCCACCTCCCTGCTAATGCACCTGGGAAAGCTTCAAGAGGATGGCCGAAGTTTTGTGGCCCCTGCATCCATGAGGGAGACCTGGAACAAGCTCTCAGCTCCTGGCTTTGGCCTGGCACATCCCTGGTCATTGTGTTCATTTTGGGAATGAACCAAGGAATGGAAGATTCTTTCTCTCTGTTTCTCCTTCTCTCTGTAACTGCCTTTCAAATAAATAAATAAATCTTAAAAAAAAAAAAAAGAATTGGAATACTACCAGTGCTTTGCTTTCATCTATTTGAGCCCCTCCTATCTTTCTCCACCCCCTGCTCCCTTTAGTAGTTTTATCAC